GTTCCAACGAAAACACTGAAAGTCACTGGGAAGTCAGAGAAAAACCGAATCCCTTCTATCCTATCTATTTCCAATGTTGGTCATTGTTGGTCAACTTGTCTTTTGGGGACCCACATTGACCAAGTTGGCACATTCTTCATCTTCATAGCTTCAAATTTATATATATCAGTTCCAGGCGCTTCCAAATTCGCCCCGTCTTCCAGCAAGGCCTTGGCTGCGGCCGTCCTCAATTCTAGACGGCGTAAAACAGCCTCAGAGAGGCAGTACCAGGTCATTGCCAGCTGGCCTGTCAATAGTGAGCTTCAACCATCTTGCGTGGCCCAAAATTGTTTCGACCCAATGACACCGTTCATAAAAATTATCAAATACCCTGTTTCTGCTGGATTCGGAATTTGACCCATGACAAATCAGAACAGAGAGCGGCCAAACAAAGATGTGATCTCTTCGCAGTAACCCTCACTGTCACACACAAACCATTACAAACCGCTCACTGAGCATTCACCATTTTCTTGTCCACCATCCTCCCACCAAAAAAAAATGAAAACACAACACAACTCTGTTTGCAGCCCAGCAGCGCAGTGTCCCCAGTAGTGTCCACAAGGTTGGGGTGTGCGTCCGCGGCCCGGAAAGGCCACGTAGAAACAAGAGAATACCTCATCAGCAAAGGCTGACCACTTTACTGATGAGGTATCGAATTGTTTCTACGTGGCCTTGCCGGGCCGCGTAGAATAGGGCAGTTTGATTCATATCCTTGGCTCCAGGAAGCGAGTACAGACGACGGCGCGCATGGCACGGAAGGCACGCAACAGCAAGCCCACACAAAGTTCATCATCTACAGATATCTACAGTATAAACCCATCGATATCTTGTTTGTTGGAGGTACCGGGTTTGGGTCCATACCAACCAAATCTCAAATGCCTCACTGTATGATTTGTGGTTGAACGTGTTGAAACTACCCTTCCCTCAAGCGTTTTTAAAGTGGAGGTTCCTCATGGAAAAGTCGCACGTTTGAGAGGGCCAACCAGCTGAACATACATCATTGTTGGTTTACTCTCTCTGTGGATAACCTTTACCCCCATGGCCCATGGCTGGATCCTATTTTGGAAGTTTCTCCGTCCAACAGGACAGGCAACGACTTACTCTTCGTGCATCTCCCGGACCCCATGCATAGCACAAATGAAACTGGATTTGCACGATTTGGGTGAAACCAGCAAAAACTATCCGCATTTGGGGGTAACTAATTTTGAGCCAAAACCGTTCAGCCACTTGCCCTTCAACATCCTCTAACATCACTTCAGGACTGTGCCAAGCAACGTCCACGCCAGGATCTCAGACAAGGACTTGGCCTGCGGAGAATGCCCGGCTTCCTTTTTGACTGGGGCAACAGGGTTTGTTGCATAGGGTCATAACATGTTCTAATATGTTCTAATATGTTCTAACTCTAACATGTACACGGTACACGGCGCGGTATGACAGAAATATTTTGAGCTGCTTGGCTGCAGCCTCACGGTCAGCTCATGTCAGCTCCCTATCGTCGAGCAGCCGCAAAGAACACTGTTGTCTGATCCTGAGGCTTGTAGCCGCAGAAAAATAGCTCGGAAACGATTCAACAAACCAAAGGTTTGCTAAACTAAAGCATGCCAAATCACCCAAATCACCTCTTCAAGATGAACGCATTTTGCAGCTCCTCTTGTGTTGAAAGCCCCGTTCTGATTGAGGCTTGCAGCCAAGCAACACAAGCCAATTGGCCAGGCCACGCATGCGTTTCAAAGAAGATCCTGCGAGAATCTGCTTTACAATGTCGAACCTGCCATCCTCGGTCGGAGCTTGTTTCCCGTGACCCTGTCTGCAAGCGTTCCAACACTGGTTTCATCAATTTCATCAACATTGCAAAAGGGCCAAACTGTTCACCTCTACAGCTTGGTCGTCTGAAAACTACAAATATCAGCGGATCGGGATCATCCTGCCAGTAAGAAGAAGGTTGATTGTGAAGCAAGGTTTCCAGGGATGCCAAAACGCAAGGGGTCGCCACTTGTCAGTTCAGGTTGAGGTTTGTATGTTCTTGAATGGGCCCTGGTCTTGAAAGCTCTGCTCCACTTGTCTCAAGCAAAAAAAAAAAATGTCAGGATATTCAAGTGCTTGTCAAGAACTTGTTGTCCCAATTTTCAGTGGGAACATACCCAAATATACGGTACCCAGCCTACCCACTTAACTCACTGTTTTGAAGAGGATGAATCCGGTAAAGGCTTAAATTTTTAATTCAATTCAAACATGTCCAAACTCCCCTGCGCAGAAGGCCTACCCCTGCGCAGCAGTCTGCTTCAAGATTCTCTGATAAACAGCCCGGTTTTTCTAACTATAGTTAGAAAGACTGGGCGGTTTTCCACGGCCATGGCTTCGAAACCCAAGTGAGTCAAGCACCTGGGAAACCTAGCTTTTGGCTCAACGAACCTCGTTTCGTTGAGCCAAAACCTGGGTTTCGTGGCTAACAGTGAAGCCGCAAACAGTATGTATAATCCAATTTCTATAACACATTGGAAACGACCAAGCGGCAACGCAATTTCCGACAGATGATTGGACCCACTCAGCCACCCAGTCCGCCACGATAGTTTTTGCATGTTTTTGCCATAATTATATAAAAAGAAAGTCCAGTGATTATAGTTGAAAGCAAATGTGAGTGTTGTCCAATGATTCCCATGTTTCCTCGTTTTGGCCTTCACAACTGTCCCTTTGACATACTTTGAGCATGCGACTGCGGACAAAATTACTTATTACTTGCAATGGACATGGCCAAAATGGGTGGTCCCTATCGGTTGTGAAGTTTTTGACACAAATTTGAACATCCCAAGTCCACTCCGTACTACTTTAATTTTTGGCCAATTTTGTCGGTTACTCATATGATCATTTATGAGAATATATGTGTCAAAAAATGAAATCTCCACTAAGAGGCCCGTTTGCTGAAATCTCCACTAAGGCTTGGGGCCCACACCAGGGTCAAAGCGCATGCCGCAAGCAATCGGTTCAGCCTGGGCTGAAAGACTCTACCACGAAGAAGTTTCCTGCCTATGATGCTGACGTGCAAGTTCCCAATGCTACATTGGGATTGTAGCTTTCGAAGACCATTCGAAAAAAAAAAAAAGCTTTACTTCGAGTGATCCCCACCAAGACATGTATACGTTTTGTTACTGGCAAATTTTCTGGCACTCTATCTGACATATCTTCTGGCATTCGATCTGGCATTTTATCTGGCATATCTTCTGGCATTCTACCTGGCATATCTTCTGGTATATCTTCTGGCACTTTATCTACATTCTATCTGGCATACCTTCTGGCGTTCTACCTGGCACTCTATCTGGCATATCTTCTGGCATATCTTCTGACATTCTATCTGGCATATCTTCTGGCATATCTTCTGGCATTTTATCTGGCATATCTTCTGGCATATCTTCTGGCATTCTACCTGGCATATATTTTCTGGCATATCTTCTGGCACATCTTCTGGCATTCTACCTGGCATATCTTCTGGCATATCTTCTGGCACTTTATCTGACATTCTATCTGGCATATCTTCTGGCATATCTTCTGGCATTCTACCTGGCATATCTTCTGGCATTCTACCGGGCATATCTTCTGGCATATCTTCTGGCATTCTACCTGGCACTCTATCTGGCATATCTTCTGGCATATCTTCTGACATTCTATCTGGCATATCTTCTGACATTCTATCTGGCAAATCTTCTGGCGTTCTATCTGGCAAACATTCTGGCACTTTATCTGGCATACCTTCTGGCATTCTATCTGACATTCTATCTATCTGGCATATCTTCTGGCATTCTATCTGGCATATCTTCTGGCATTTTATCTGGCATATCTTCTGGCATTCTATCTGACATTCTATCTGGCGTTCTATCTGGCACATCTTCTGGCATTCTATCTGGCCGTTGAGGTCCAGCGGTGCCCACTGAGCTCGGAAGGTCCCAGGTTGAGGTCCAGTGGTGCCCACTGAGCTCTGAAGGTCCCAGGTTCAGGTCCAGCGGTGCCCACTGGGCTCGGAAGGTCCCTGGTTGAGGTCCAGCGGTGCCCACTGCGCTCGGAACCTTGCGGTTGAGGTCCAGCCGTGCCCACTTAGATCGGCAGCCGGCAGTTGAGGTCCAGCAGTGCCCACTGCCACAGAAGTTGGCGAAGAGATTGGCGAAGAGTTGGCAAGTCGGAAGTGGACATGGAAGTGGATGCAGAGGTGGTGGAGGAGAAGGAGGAGGACGAGGAGGAGGAGAAGGAGGAGGAGGAGAAGAACAACTGGGATAAAATCTAACAACCCTCACCTGGCAGGTGGGGAAAAAACAACCAAGCGGACCAAGCAAGCAATTTATAAATTGCTCTGGGTCAGAAAAGGGCACTTGTCCTACAAATGATGGACCCCTTTTCAAAATATGGAAATCATTGGAAATCATCCACTTTGGCTTTGTCCAAGACCGAATCCCATCCCATGGAGGTTATCATTTTCCCATCAAAATTGCCACAAAATGATGGCCCCGTTCACCGAGAATGGGCTGCCAGGCATCGGAACGCGAAAAGCCTCAGCAGACCATATCCCATGCCGCGGCAATGTCAACCAACTACGGAGGATACGACCCGAAAGGGATATGACTTGAAAGTGACTATGAATATGCATGACTTGTTGAACATCTTTAACATCTTTGAAGATCGGGATAGTGATCCACATCGCAATGCCATTCCCATGTCATGTGTTTAACATTTTAACGATGACCCTTTAGTTACCGGAAAACCAACATTTCCCTCGAAATGACCTGTCATCAGTTTTGATCCCAGCGGGTGTCCGCAGGAGGCCATGTCATCATGTCATCAGTTCCGAGTAGAACTGATTTCAATAGATTGGATGTGATCAATGCTGTGCCGGCTGTGTGCCGGCTGTTTGAATTTGCACGAAGCTGAATCCTGGAATAAAGAAATCAAAGGACAGGTTGGGGTTGCTATCCAAACTAATATAAAGGTCTCCTCTCATTCCATTGTTTCCTCAAAACCACTTCTGATAGGTTGCAACACCACCATCTGCCCACGATCTTGCGTCCTCTGGCGACAGCTCTGAGAACCACGCTTCGTATTGGAGCCGCCTCAGATGTACCCGTCAGCACTGTGCCAGGTTTGAGCCTGGCCTGCACAAATGTCAAAGCACTTCCCCAACACTGTGGCCAGCAGTTGTTATACATGTAACCGTGCTATTTGGTTGATTGGTTTATTTATTTGCAATTGAAATACAGATAATACAGTATATATCCCAAAAAACAAAGCCCCAGGAACTTCACCATGAATTCACTTTCTCAATCAGTCATCCCTGTGGCCTCCGTTGTCGCACAGATTTCCCCTGACTGAAGATTTCACTGCTTTTGGCCCCTACAACGGACATGGGGTGGAAGCCGCTGCGGCCGCGGGAGGCGCGGATCGGCTCAAATTAACAAATGTCATTCCCGATCTCTTGTTGTCCCACACTTCGACTAAACCATCCGGCAGACCGTGACCTGCACCCTCGCTGTTCGCACAGCTGCGCATCTGCGAGAAAAATTTTGTGGCACAATTTTTTTCTCGCAGATGCGCAGCTGTGCTGCGCATTCTGCTGGGCAGGTTCGGAGAACAGCGTAGCTGTCATTTTTGTCGATAATGTCCTTTCACTGGAACACACAACATACGAAATCATATGAACATCAATGAATATCGCCAACCGGATTTCTCCAAGCATGACATGCATCTTCATTCTGTGTTAACTACAGTACGCGTACTATAGGTGCATATGTCATGCATGTCCCTCCCCGTTCCGATACTTAAAAAAAATCATACCTGTAGACGCACAAACGATCAAAATATTCAAGTACAAATAAGTCACTGTACTAGTTTTAGATGCTACGGGAGGGAAACAATGGTAGTCCTGCAAACCAAATTTCTCTTGGCAAAACGACTGCTTCAATGCTTCACAGGGTTTGAACTAGAATCTGCAAGAACCTGATTGAATTTGCACTGGCAATTGCATTGCGTATCCCTGTTTCCTAGGGATGTTGTTCTCTTTTGTTGGGGGAAAATTGTTCTGGAAGCACATCCAAATGTCTAGCCGTCCTCATTCAGAGGTGGAAATTCGGAAATGATGGGCGTGCACATACTCTCTTGAAAACAACGATTCAAAATATCCGTAAAACGAACGCAAAAACCCGCAAAATCCATCAAATGCCACAACTCCAAAAGTTGTAGGTATATTGGACTATTTTGGGTGATTTGAGATACTTTTATATACATAATACCTGGGAAGGACATTTATAAATGTTTTGTTGGCCCAATCTCAAAAGCTTTCTTATCCGTCTCTCTCTCTCATACTTACTACTCCAGAGCAGGTACCGAGGGGAATTGATGCCTGTCTGGGCCTCACCGCGATTATAGTTGTGAATAGTTATGCATAGGTATGTTTTTTGAATATATATATATATATATACACATATATTTTAATGTATATGTATATATATATGGGTAGCAAATATGTAGGGTGAGGTACTCTATAGGCAGGCAGTACAATCTAAATGGGCACGTCATGCAATGAGTCGTATATAGGTACGCCATGAAACATGTGTAGGTAATTGTAGGTAGCATATGCAGGGTGTAAGGAGTATATAATCATATAGGTAGTGGTGAAGCTATGTGTATACTAAACAAAGGTGTATCATGTTACTTGGGAATGTATATTTTGGGAGTGTATATGGTGGCTGGTCAAAATGTTTTTTTCCCAGAAGTGTGCAAAAGTCGTAAATAGCTGGCCCGCTGCATAACTTTGCTTCTGCGTCATGTATCTTGTTATGTTTTTTAAATCACAGGGAATCAAGGGGAGGAGAATCATTGTTGCATTTCGTTGTGAAGTCGCTAGCGCGCGGCACTTTCAACCACTCTCGGACGAGGAGGATGGCTTGCTACTGTCTGATTCTTGTGCCATGTCCTGCAGATATCGCCTTTGGCGAGTGCCTCTGGCACGCTTTACTTGTAAAGCTCTTTGGGTCTCTTTGGTACCTACCTAAACCTATTCAAGCCATACTCTTTGGTACTTCCCTAAATCTTTGGTACTTCCATTTGAGGTCAGGCCCGTTCATGTTTCGAGCCTAAAGAAGTGCCACAACAAATGTTTGACTTCTGGGCCAGGGCTGGTATTGCCACATGTTTGCTAGCGCGGATCTATAGCGCGGCGCTAGCGCCAGGCTAGCGTGGATGACGGCGCTACTTTCGGAAATATTAGCGACAAGTACTGGGGTTCTCATAAAAATGCAATGGCTGAACTTTGCGAAACCCAAAACACCCATACCAATGCAAAGCATTCCGGATACTGGTGGCAAACAGCAAACTGTCACATCATCTCAATACTATGCCAATTCCACGTACTCAATACTAATACGATCTAATACGAAGAAGAGTTTGCAAGAGAACTGCTTCCTGGGAATGTTAAAACCACAAAACTGCTAGCGCACTGCTAACGCGAGCATAGCGCCAAGCTGCAGAAATACCGTGTTTCGTTGGGGACCCACTAAATAAAGAAGACTAAAAACCTATCGTCCAGCATTAATTTCGCAACTTGAATTACTTTTCCTTACTAGGGATTTTTGACCCGATCCCATACGTATATATTTGTAGGTACATACTGCGTCCAAGCAGTACAAGCGTATAGTATATAGGATTATATTATGCATAGGTATGTTTTGGGTATGTAATCTATATGTTGTAAATATGTAGCAGAAAGGCAAACACTGAGTGAGAACCATGTGTCTTGCACGCCTTGGGCAGTACATGCTGGTCAACGTTGGATTGTGAAACTTTCCGGTTGGATTGTGAAACTTCCCGGTCGGATTGTGAAACTTCCCGGTCGGATTGTGAAACTTGGATTGTGAAACTTCCCGGACGGATTGTGAAACTAGTATTGTGAAACTGGAAAGTCGGATTGTGAAACTTGAAAATCGGATTGTGAAACTCTAAAATTGGATTGTGAAACTCTGGAGACGGATTGTGAAACTGGGATTGTGAAACTCTAAAGGCGGATTGTGAAACTATGTAGACGGATTGTGAAACTCTGGGGGCGGATTGAGAAACTGAGATTGTGCAACTCTGCAGGCGGATTGTGAAACTCTGGGGACGGATTGTGCAACTCTGAAGGCGGATTGAGAAACTCTAGATACTGATTGTGAAACTACGATTCTGCAACTCTGAAGACGGATTGTGAAACTCTGCGCACGGATTGTGAAACTAGGATTGTGCAACTTTGAAAGCGGATTGAGAAACTCTGAAGAAAAATTCTGAAAAGCTGGGGGGCGATTGTGAAACTGGTGCTGTGAAAGTCTGCAGAGAGATGATGAATCTTTACGTGGAGATGGTTGCACGGGTGCTGCGAATCTCTGAAGGCAGATCAGGAAACAGTGAAACTCCAAGTTGCAGAATTAAAGCCTCAGTTTGAAATTCTCTTAACCTTGTGGAGACTCCAAGTCAGTTTGAAGTTCCATGGGGATGGGAATGTTCATATCATCTTAACCTTGTGGCGACTCCCAGTCAGTTTGAAGTTCCATGGGGGTGGGAATTTTGATATCATCTTCAACTTGTGGACACCCCAAGTCAGTTTGAAGTTCCATGGGGGTGGGAATTTTGATATCATCTTCAACTTGTGGACACTCCAAGTAAGTTTGAAGTTCCATGGGGGTGGAAATTTTTATCTCATCTGAGACTTGTGGAGACTCCAAGTCAGTTTGAAGTTCCATGGGGGTGGGAATTTTGATATCATCTTAACCTTGTGGAGACTCCAAGTCAGTTTGAAGTTCCATGGGGTTGGGAATGTTCATATCATCTTAACCTTGCGGAGACTCCAAGTCAGTTTGAAGTTCCATGGGGGTGGGAATTTTCATATCATCTTAACCTTGTGGAGATTCCAAGTCAGTTTGAAGTTCCATGGGGGCGGGAATTTTCATATCATCTTAACCTTGTGGAGACCCCAAGTAAGTTTGAAGTTCCATGGGGGTGGAAATTTTCATATCATCTTAACCTTGTGGAGACTCCAGTCAGTTTGAAGTTCCATGGGGGTGGGAATTTTCATATCATCTTAACCCTGTGGACACTCCAAGTCAGTTTGAAGTTCCATGGGGATGGGGTTTTTGATATCATCTTGAACTTGTGGACAGGCCAAGTCAGTTTGAAGTTCCATGGGGGTGGGAATTTTGATATCATTTGAGACTTGTGGGGACTCCAAGTCAGTTTGATGTTCCATGGGGGTGGGAAATGATATCGTCTTTAACTTGTGGACACTCCAAGTCAGTTTGAAGTTCCATGGGGGTGGGAATTTTCATATCATCTCCACCTAGTGGAGACTCCAAGTAAGTTTGAAGTTCCATGGGGGTGGAAATTTTCATATCATCTTAATCTTGTGGAGACGCCCAGTCAATTTGAAGTCCCATGGGGGTGGGAATTTGCATATCATTTTAACCTTGTGGAGACTGCAAGTCAGTTTGAAGTTCCATGGGGATGGGATTTTTGATATCATCTTGAACATGTGGACACGCCAAGTCAGTTTGAAGTTCCATGGGGGTGGGAATTTTGATATCATTTGAGACTTGTGGAGACTCCAAGTCAGTTTGAAGTTCCATGGGGGTGGGAAATTTGATATCGTCTTTAACTTGTGGACACGCCAAGGTAGTTTGAAGTTCCATGGGGGTGGGAATTTTCATATCATCTCCACCTAGTGGAGACTCCAAGTCAGTTTGAAGTTCCATGGGGGTGGCAATTCATATCATCTTAACCTTGTGGAGACTCCAAGTAAGTTTGAAGTTCCATGGGGGTGGAAATTTTCATATCATCTTAACCTTGTGGAGACTCCCAGTCAATTTGAAGTCCCATGGGGGTGGGAATTTGCATATCATCTTAACCTTGTGGAGACTGCAAGTCAGTAGTTACGCAATTTGACCGAAGAGTTGCGCAATCCTGGGAGTTGCGCAATCCGACCAAAGAGTTGCGCAATCCTGGGAGTTGTGCAATCTGTCGAAAGTAGTTGCGCAATCCGACCAAAGAGTTGCGCAATCCTGGGAGTTGCGCAATCTGTCGAAGGTAGTTGCGCAATCCGACCCAAGAGTTACGCAATCCTGGGAGTTGCGCAATCTGTCGACAGTATAGTTGCGCAATCCGACCAAAGAGTTGCGCAATCCTGGGAGTTGCGGAATCTGTCGAAAGTAGTTGCGCAAGCAGAGTTGCGCAAGCAGAGTTGCGCAATCCTGGGAGTTGCGCAATCCAGATTGCGCAATCCTAGTTGCGCAATCCGACCAAAGAGTTGCGCAATCCTAGTTGCGCAATCCGGAGAAGTTTCGGAATCGGACTTTATTCGTACAGGCTATATAGATATGTTAGACATACACAGCTAAACAGGGTCCAGTGAAAAGGCTGTGTGGCTCTCACATGTCGCAAAAAAAATCGGGCTCATTTGTATGTATGTCTGTATGCATGCATGCATGCAATGTAATGTAATGAAATGTAATCTAATCTAATTAATCTAATCTAACGTATAATGTACAGAAAGGGGTGTTGTGAGCACTAAAAAAACGAAATTTTGGAGATATATAGCCTTGATACTATGGATGGTTTCATGTTTTTTGCGCTCACAACAGCC